AGCAGTCTTCCAATATCTCAGGGGATGCCACAAAGAAGAGGGAGTCAAGCTATTCTCCAAAGGACCTGAAGGCAGGACAAGGAAATAACAGGTGGAAGATAACAGAATAACAGAGTTGGAAGGGACTTTAGAGGTCTTCTAGTCCAACCCCCTGCTCAAGCAGGAGACCCTACATACCATTCCAGATGAGGGACGCAGTGGCTCTGTGGCGGAGACGCTGAGCTTCTCGATCAGAAAGGTCGGCAGTTTGCCAGTTCGAATCCCTAGCGTCGCGTAACGGAGCGAGCTCCCGTCACATATGTCCCAGCTTCTCCCAACCTAGCCGTTCGAAAGCACATTAAAAATGCAAGTAGAAAAATAGGAACCACCTTTGGTAGGAAAGGAATAGCGTTCCGTGCGCCTTCGGCATGGAGTCATGCCCGCCACATGACCACAGAGATGTCTTTGGACAGCGCTGGCTCTTCGGCTTTGATACAGAGATGAGCACCGCCCCCTAGAGTCGGGAACGACTAGCACATATGTGTGAGGGGAACCTTTACCTTTTAGTCCAAGCAGAAGACCCTACATACCATTCCAAATAAGGCTGTTCCACCTTCAATTTTGAAGGACCCACAACTTCTGGTGGCAAGCTGTTCCATTGGTTAATTGTCCTCATTGTTAGGAAATGTCTCCTTAATTCCAGGTTACTTCTCCCCTTGATGAGTTTCCATCCGATGCTTGTCCTGCCTTCGGGTTCTTTGGCAAATAGATCATTAAAAAGAGATCTAATCCAGGGGAAAAATTTACTGACAGTGAGAACAATTAACCAGTGGAATAGTTTGCCATCAGAAGTTGTGGTTGCTCCATCACCCGGAGATTTTAAAGAAGAGATTGGACAGCCATTTGCCTCGGAATGGGTACAGGGTCTTCTGCTTGAGCGGAGGGGTTGGACTAGAAGACCTCCTAGGTGCCCTTCAACCCTATTATTCTAGAAAAAGGTTACAGATGAAGGACTACAAGTAGGTTGAAGTACCAAGGGGGTACAGGGAAAGCGAGTCCAATAGTCCCACAAAGAGGACCAATGACCTGGAGGACACAGGGTGTCCTTTCCCTCTTCTTCGAACCCGTAACCCCCCCTTTCTTGTTTCACCCTTAGTTGCTTCTGGAAATGGAGACCACCTCGGCACCCCTGCCCGCCACTGAACCCGCGCAGTTCCGCTGCCTCCTGTGTCACGTCGACTCGCCCAACCGCCTGGCCATGATCCAGCACCTCCGCTCTCCCCACCACCGCGAGGCACATGGCCAGTGGCGCCTCCAGCTACTCCAGAACGGCGAAGGCACTTTGGGCCTCGAAAGATACGTCTGTTTTGCGCCCGCCAACCCTGCAGGTAAACTGCCGTGCCGCTCGGCTGGTGGGTGGGGCTGGCGCTGCGGACCACTGAGGCCCGTTGGGTCCCAATGGGGTGAAATGTTGATTTTTTTTCTTAGGGAGATTGATGGGGGTGGGGGTGGGGGAAGCAAGAAAGGACCCCCAACCACACCATCTGCAAGGGATGCCTTCTTGATCCTGGGTGGGTGGGAATTGAGAAAAAAAGAACCCCTCCCAGGGGGGTAGCAAACACCGTGCAATTTCTTAAGCCTGCTGAATGTTTTACTCTGCGTCCAATGTCGGAGCGCGGTAGGTTCCCTGTTCTTCCTCCTCTCTGCCAGCCCCCGCCAGCCTCCTCCTCCTTTTCTCGTTGCACACACTCTCTCTCACACACACACCCCAGCTTCATAATGGATTATGACAGATACTGGGGGAGGTTGCCTAGCAACCTGCGGGGAAGAATGAAGGAGAAGAGAAATGAGACCGAGATACGTACAGACCGCAGCCGGGGAGAAGTTGGAAGGGGAGAAGGGGGTTGGTAGCAGTGGAAGGAAAGCTATATATTTCTCCCTCCCCCCAGCTGAGGCTGCCTAACCCACCCACCAACCAGCTCACCTCCCTTCCCTGCCCCTCCCACACCGGGGAACCCTATCTGAGCGGTGGAAATTGGCCGTCTTCCCAGATTTATGGGTTGCCAATCCGCCTGACCTTGCATCTTTACCTGGCGCGGGAAGTCAATCGGGATCACCAGGATGGGTGGGGGAAATTGAGGGGAAGGGGTGCCACCGGGCAGTGCATGATTGAAAGCGGGGTGATGGCACGCGACCGAGGGTCAATCCACCAGCCAGGCCTTTCACCTTTGTGCAGAAGAGCTCAAGGGACGGACAGAGAGAATGACAGCGCAGTGCGGTCTACAGCCATGATGGAAACATGGGGGAGACCCCTGGGAAGGTTTAGGGATGCGGGAATTCTCGCCTTGACGTGCTGTATGTGCAGCGAGGGAGACTCGCTCGCTCTCAGCCCGTTGTCAGTGAGAAATGGGGGGTCTTCACGTGGCGGCGGGCGTATCGAGCCGTGCTAATTGAGTTGCCGATGGTAGCGAGGCCGTGTCTATTGGCCAGGGAGGCCGACCCCGTTCAATATTAACGATCCCGCTCAGGTTGAGAGTTTAATTAGTCGCTGACGAGGATAAAGGCCTGAATCGTGCGTCATTCAGGTTTTTCACAGCCTGGAGGCTGGAATTCCCATTTTCTCTCTCTCTTTTTTTTCTTCTCTTCCTCCTCTTTTTTGACATCCTTTTAAGTTTCCCGTCTTCCAGATGATCTTAGCTTCCGTAAAGGGGAACTCGGTTTGTCAACGTAGGATGGTGGGTGCAAAACGCAGGTCAGGGGTCAACTCCCTTCTTGCCTGGCCAGGAAGTTTGGGGGAACGGTACTTCCAGCACATTGAAAAACCCGTCCTTGATGTATGACCTCAACGGAGCCCCCAGCATTTCTGTCGCTAAAATGAGACATCGCTTAAGCGAGGTTCGCCCCGTTGTACGACTTCCCTTGCCACATTTGGGAAGTGGATCCCGGCTGTTGTTTTAATTAGTAACAAGGCTGTGTGGTGAACCACTGTACTTGTTACGCAGGGAATGCAGTTGTTAAGTGAACCGTTTGCAGTGGTTGTTAGTCACCACTATGTAAGAAGCACACCACAATAGTAATGGGGGATTTTAACTACCCTGACATCAACTGGGAAACAAACTCTGCACCAAGTGGA